CATTTTTGTTGAAGCAAATCTCAGCTTCTTCCACGATACCCATAAGATGAAGGCTAGGAGAAACAAGACCTCCCTGCTACGAGCAAGGATAAAATTATTGTCGGATTCAGTCGACTTTAAGGCCTGTAGTAGAGCTTGCAATTCCTCGTCATATTCATTCTGATTCTTAGATCTAGACTTCTGGTACAGCTTTGAAACTATATACCCTGCGACGTAGGAAAGAGGGCCACGTTCTGATGGGTCAAGTTTTAAATCACTAGTTGTAGTCATTCCCATTGGTTTAGGTGCCGCCTTTTCACGATGTTGGCAAACCTTAAAAAAATCCAGCTAAATGATCTGGTACCTCTATCATAATTAAATTTGCAGCGTTAGAATCTGGACAATTTAAATATTGTGTCGAATTAGGGATCAATCCATAGAATGCTTCAAGTAATTTGTCTTGGTTTCATTTGCGACAAAATTTATCATACAATGGCAGTACAGCATCAAAAAAAGCTTTGTTGCAAGAGGCATTTTTAACAGCGTTATTTATCAGGACCATACAGGTCTTCAGCGATCAAACGAACTTTCTTGCCAGCTAGATTTTCTAGTGAAAAAAGATTGACTTCTGTAACTTTGTCTGCTTCAGTTAGCACATTGACATTTGCTTCACGGTGTTTGGAATTTGTGTTTTGTTAAGCCACCTTTTTGAGTTACAAACTTTAGTGCAATATGAGCAAGGAAATGACTTCTTGCCTTCAATTTCTGTTACAGCTTTGCGAAACTCATCGTCGAGTTCGTCCGTTTCTGTGTCTAAGATCACAAGCAATACATTTCGATTGAAATCCTTGTTTGACTCCTCACCTATATTTTCTAAATCTTCTTCGGTGATATCCTCGGGAAAGTCCTGAATGTCGCCAATGTCAGTTTCTTGATTGATCCCCACCATAGCCTTTGTTTTTCTTGCCTTCACTGCATGAAATGATACATATTTTCAAACAGCAAGTTGGATTGTAGCAAATTTCACTATATCGCTATATTGTTTTCACTCATGGCATACCGCTTATTGATCACATGACAAAAATAAAAATTAGTTCTCGACATAAATTTCTGAGGTCTTTGAAGTTTGCCGGCTAGCCTAACCAATCCCCCTTCTATTAACTGTGTTGTAACTTACATCTTAAATAAGGCAAAATGTTTGTTCATCATCAGATTCCATACCTGCATTGTCTGGCAGAAAATCGTCTTCCTTCTTTATCAGATATATGGTGGCCATGTTGAACTTCAACATAATTTCACTTGAAACAGTGAAGTTATGGCATTCTTCCTTTCTCCAACGCAGGATGCTTTCAACTCGAATGAGAGCATCAAGTGTCGGACCGCTCATCCTGTTTCTCACTTTACTCTTAAAGTAATTTATTTTGGAGAAGATGCGCTCTACGTCTGCATTAAAGTATGGAAGAGAGTAGAGGCTTAATGCGTGCTGTGATATATTTTCAAAATGCGACTGCCCAGTTGAATCTTTATTGCTCACTACGTGGCACCAGAATTTCACTGCATCTCATTTCAAATCATCTGGGAGGTCAGCTATCTTCAAAAGATTAGTTTCCTAACTTGTTTAGATCAACGACGTTGTTAGTGATGTTTGGTAAATGAAATGCCAGTGAAGTAAGAACTTGGACTTTCAACACTTCCTCTAGCAAGATACTCACAATGTCTCAAAAGATGGAAACATTCTCTGGGAGTCTCGTCTGCACTTGTTTTGTTGCCTCAAACAAAAATGTTAGGCACCTCTGTTTAACTTCATCCAGATCATTCTTTGGGATTTTCAACTATTCAGCATTGCTGATAAATGCATAACCAAGGCAGGTACAGCTGGCAGGCATCAGGTTGTTTTGGAAATCATACGAGAAAAGATCTCTTTTGCTGACTTTTTCCGGCCTTCATGGAATGACAATGTGCTGCAAAAGCAAACAATACAAATCCAGCAAGTCGGAACCAAGGGGCACAACGTTAGCATTAGCCAACTCAAACAGCTTGTTGTTGATTCTGGAAAAGTCCTTCAAAGTTCCCTCCACGAAGATGAACATGACGGAATTCTTGATACATACTGGTAAGTGTCGCCTGGTACTGGTAAGTGCTACACTTTTTGCCAGTGTAGCACTTTTCATCGTTAGAGCTCGCCATTTGAAAACATAGCTTCAGAGCATCCCATTAGTCGATAATTCGGATTATGCACTTGTACCAGCTCATCCCACCTGGTGGCACTTAGTTGGCGGAGCTTCGTTGGTACCTTGTTCATAAGGCACTTGCGCAGCTCTCTGTACTGGATCAGTCGTTTGAGGCTGTGCGAAAACCACTTGTATGATTCTCTAACCAAAAAATCAAGGTGTGCAGGTAGTGTATCAGCTTGCTTTGCTTGCCGCCAGTTGCAAGCTGTGACAAACACACTTAAAAATGATGTGCAGGATCAGTATGTGTCCAGACTGTGGTGAACTGCTACCATCGCACTGCAGCCATC